ATTAGGCTGTCTTGGACTCTGTCCTCCTTTACGTCTTCTTTTCCTGTTAAATGTGAAAGGGTGGGGGAATGCTGCTAGTTTCCTCTCCTGGTCATCGGTTCCTTGGAGGTGGGATCTCTTAACCCATGGAGTGAGCTGTGTAAAATGAACTCTAATACACACTGAGTGGCACTTCATGAAATTACAGGGGTGGGCAGATAAAGAGGAGACTTACCTCTCTGAGTTTGTTCTCCTCTGRGAAGGGGGAGCAGGGGTACTTGAGCTGAGAAGAGGGGTCGGGGGGCCCCCAGCAGGGTTTCTAAGCATCAGGTGCTTGCATCCCTATTTTCCACAGAATTTTGGTCCTGTGTCTGTCTCTGCTGTACTGTTGTTTTATACAGACGTTTTATAAATTTGTTGTTCTCTGTCACTGCTGTAGTTTCCCCAGTGAGCTGACTCCTAACTTGGTTTGGGAGGCCAGGGAGGATCTCTGCCATGGCAGGAGTATGTTCCTCCCAGTGGGCTAGGGGAATGGAGTCACTGGAGTCAAGTGCTTTCCTCATACCTGTGATCTTCCAGGGGAGGCTGACCAAGCCCGCAGACGTGCCCCGGCTGCAGCTTTCTTCGGGCTTTATTTGGGACGTTGGACTTGACTCTCTGACTCCAGCCTTGCCACCTCAAGGGGAGAGCTCAGATAGCGAGGAAGACGAGAARCCACATCAAGCCACGGTGCTGTATTTTCCAGGGCTTTGTCCTTTTGAAGAGACCCCTCGGTATCAGAGTCCTGTGGCTTGTCCTAGCCTGGGTATTATTCCTGGGTGGGGATAATGGGGGGATGGCACCAGTCTGGGGCCACATAGTGTTTATAGAGCTGTGCACTGCCCTGGCAGCTCTTGGCTTCCACCATGTACCTCCCCTAGGGTTCAAGGAGCACATGACTCACTCACTTTTCTGCTTTCCATAGCAGAAAAAGAAAAGCAAGAAGGAAAGGGAATTGGAAAAGCAGAAGGCAGAGAAAGAGCTGTCCCGCATTGAGCAGGCTCTCATGGATCCTGGGCGACAGCCAGAATCAGCAGATGATTTTGATCGACTAGTACTAAGCTCCCCCAACAGCTCCATCCTGTGGCTGCAGTACATGGCTTTCCACCTTCAGGCCACAGAGATTGAGAAGGCTCGGGCCGTGGCAGAGAGAGCCCTGAAGACCATCTCCTTCAGGTCTGGACTTTGGCTTCCTCACTGTAGGGAGGAGTCTTCAGACAGAGAGCCCTGTATTGCCCAAGTTCTAACTGCAGAGTTTRCCACCACAGGACATTTCTTTTGAGGCGAGCTAACAGTGTGGGACTGTCCCAGGACTCATTGGTTGCCAGGCTTTTCTCATAGATGTGGCCATCTGTGAAATAGATCTGCTCATTTATATTTTATGTCCTCTTAACTAAAATAGCTACAGGTTATGTTTATTAGAGTGTTTACACTTAAACAAGGTATGCAGTTTGGAGCAGAAGTAGAATGGGGAAGACAGCTCTGTATATACCTGGTAAAAACCCAGGTGGCCATGTTCCAGGCTGAGTAGAGTTGTTCTCTGAAGCCTAAAGGATGACTAGCCTTGTTTTACTTCCTTGGGGARAGAATCAGACCCAAGAGTCTGCTTCCAGCCCAAATCTCAGGCCAGTTTGTGACCTGGAGGTTTCCTTCCAGGAGTGGAGTTAGAAGCCAGGGGAGCCTCAGTCCTGGCAGTTGGGCAGGGGTGCAGATTCCTGATGGTGTGCAAGCTACAGTGGGGATGGGGCCTCTCAGTGTTTGCCGGTGGGATCTGAGGACATGGGTGGAGCTTAAGAGAAGGAAGTAGGCCATCAACATCCCAGGTGGGAGTGGAGGATCGTTGGGCTGAGTTGATGGCGCTTATGTGTGCCTGCTCTGCCCCCAGAGAGGAGCAGGAGAAGCTGAACGTGTGGGTGGCACTGCTGAACCTGGAAAACATGTATGGCTCTCAGGAGTCTTTGACCAAGGTCTTTGAACGGGCTGTGCAGTACAATGAGCCTCTCAAGGTGTTCCTCCACCTGGCTGACATCTACACCAAGTCTGAGAAGTTCCAGGTAAGACGGCCAGATGGCCAGCTGCAGGGAGCCTTGAGCCTCTCAAAAGGGCCCTCCTAGAGGTTCTAGGTCCTATCCTGCCCCGGGCTCACTGCCTGATTCCTGGGCCCTAACTTTCTCATCTTCAGGTGAGAGGAGTGGTCTCTTCCCACCTGTAGTTTGGGAAACTGAGGTGAAGGAAGTGATGACTTAAGAAATGGAGGGACAGCAGACCCTGGAGTRTATGACTAGGCCACTGGTGAGGCATTGTTGACAAGGTGGCGTTCTGACCTGCTGTACCCTTCTCCTGTTCCCACCGTATCCCCACATTCTCTTGTAATCCAGGAATAGCCTGAAGGGCGCTGGATGAATAGGAAAACTCCCACCCTTTCCTGCCACTGCACACCTCACCTCTCCTTTGGCCTCTAGAGATGGGCCTACATGTGACTTGGCATCAGGGAGCCCAAGTCTTGCTTCTCATGAGTGTTGCAGCCTGTCTTTGTTGTTGTCCCTGTGAAATACCCACTCTTCAGCTTAAGCTCTCTTTCCCACAGGAAGCGGGTGAGCTGTACAACCGGATGTTGAAGCGTTTCCGTCAGGAGAAAGCTGTCTGGATCAAGTATGGTGCCTTTCTTTTGCGGAGGAGCCAGGCTGGGGCCAGTCACCGTGTGCTGCAGCGGGCCCTTGAGTGCTTGCCTACCAAGGAGCGTGAGTATTCTCTCCTGGTTCCTGAATATGCTAGGCTCTCTGATATCTGGCAATAGGGATTGGCACCTTCTCTTCCAGGGATGGTAACTTCTGAGTTAGGAAAGCCTTATGGAGGGTATGGAGCTATCTTTTTATATGCTCGTGAATACAGTGATATTTCTTACATTTTAAATGCTAAACCCCAAAGATTGGAGGGTCAAAAAGTAATTAGCATTTATTTTGTTGCCCCTGGAACCCCCACACTCTGACCTATCCTGTAATGCCCATTTGTTGTGTATTTGGCTCTAAACCCACCCCACTGTCCTTTTTCCTCTTTGCCCCTCTTGTCATAACCAGGTCTTGACCCAGGAGTGGAATTAGGCTCACTCTGTCCCTGTAGCACATTGTGTTGAGTGGAGGGGTCTGTCAATTTACTGGGTGTCTTAAGCTCTCTTCTCCCCACAGATGTGGATGTGATTGCCAAGTTTGCCCAGCTGGAATTCCAGCTGGGGGATGCAGAGCGAGCAAAAGCCATTTTTGAAAACACACTGAGCACCTACCCAAAGCGCACAGATGTCTGGTCAGTCTACATTGACATGACCATCAAGCATGGCAGCCAGAAGGAAGTCCGGTGAGAGGGAAAGACAGACTGGGGCTGATTTGGTGGGGGTAGTAATGGAGGTGTTGGCCCACTGATAAGTTTTTAGCCCCAATGCAGCTCACAGTTCTCTTGTAGTATAGAAAAACAGCTTTGACATGACTGCAATGGGGCATTCAGTTTTCCAGCCTCAAAAGGCCAGCCTCTGATCCATGTCTGCACCTTTTGGTGGGAAGTGGCTTGGTCCCTGGCTTGAGAGTCAGCAGACTTGGGTTTCCATCACGATGAACACTGTGCCTGATTCATTATGCAAAACTTTCACAGGCAGGATCTCACTTATCMCCCAGCATCCCCACAAGGTAGTGAGGGTAAGAGGTAGGTAGACCAAGGTCTAGAAAGAACAAGTACCTAACTCAGGCCCTTCATGAGGTTTTGTTTTGTTTATTTATTTTTTTAAGTTTTAGATGGACACAATATCCTTATTTTACCTTTATGTGGTGCTGAGGATCGAACCCAGTGCCTCACGCATGCCAGGCGAGCACGCTACCACTTGAGCCACATCCCGAGCCCCTCTTCATGAGTTTTAAGCATTGGTTCTCTCATGGATCTGTGCTTCATTGTGGTCCCTATTCTAGTAGCCTTGTCCCCACTCATTGTGAGGCTCGAAGCCAGTAAGTCCTCTAGCATCTCTAAGTACCTATTCATTTGGAAAATGAAGGTGTGGTGTCACTTCAGTTTATCACAGGAATTCTTTTTATGTGGTGCTGAGGACTGAACTGAGTGAGGGCCTCGCACATGCTAGGCAAGCGCTTTACCGCTGAGCCACAACCCCAGCCTAACACAGGAATTCTTTTTTTTTTTTTTTAAATATTTATTTATTTATTTATTTATTTTTAGTTTTCGGCGGATACATCTTTGTTTGTATGTGGTGCTGAGGGTCGAACCCTCACGCAAGCCTAGCACGCATGCCAGGCAAGTGCGCTACTGCTTGAGCCACATCCCCAGCCCCCTAGCACAGGAATTCTTAATGATGATAAAGTCAGAAGTAGGAGTGCTGGACAATAGAGGGCCCAGAGCCTCAGTGACCGCTAGCTAGTGGGTGACCACTAGCTAGGAGTCATGACTGGGACCACGAGACATTTGCTTCTGTTCTTCCTTATAGAGACATATTTGAGCGTGTCATTCATCTGAGCCTGGCCCCCAAGAGAATGAAGTTCTTCTTCAAGCGCTATCTGGACTATGAAAAGCAACATGGCACTGAGAAGGATGTGCAGGCAGTCAAGGCGAAGGCCCTGGAATACGTGGAGGCCAAGAGCTCAGTGCTGGACGATTAGTGGCTGKCTGGCTCCACTGGACACTCAGCAGTGGGCCAGCACCACTGTCCCCCCACCCTCCTTAGGCACCTGGGCACTTGTAAAGCTGTTGCCTGAGGATCTTATTTAAGTGCAGCTTTTTCTGCAGCATCTTTGGGGTAATCCTGTCAGGATGAAAAAAGAATTGGAGACCTCCCTTCCTTTTTAAAAATGTATATTATTATTATTATTATTATTAATAATCCTGTCAGGATGAAAAAAGAATTGGAGGCCTCCCTTCCTTTTTAAAAATGTATATTATTATTATTATTATTATTATTATTATTATCATCATCATCATCATTTTGCAGGGCTGGAGATCAAACTCAAGTCATTGCACATGCTAGGCAATCAATCACTCACCACATTCTCTGGCCCTTGAGGTTTAATTTCTGTTTACTTGTTCTGTTTTTATGATGGATTTGTGTCATCTTTTTTGAAGSTGTTCAGTGATTACAGGCAGCAGTTTGGGGGGCTCCCAGAGAAAACAAGTGTCCGTCCTTCAGGAGAGCTCCCTGGGAACCAAGAGTAGAAAGCCTAACTCCTATGGATCTCATGGTCAGGATCCTGCTTTGTTCCTGGCAGGCTCTCAGTCCAGCCAGAGGGGTTAGAGTAGTTCCTAGGAAGCAAGCCTTCTGTTAAGGCGCAATTGCCTCAGGCCAGGTAGTACTTCCTGCCCTTTAGTGGAGGCTGGGACAGGAGGACAAAAGCAGGTCCTAGAAGGGAAAATCAAAGAACCTGGGTTGCTGAGGAAAGCCACAAGTGTTGACTTAATGTGCCTGGTAACACTCACCCCCAGGCCCACTGTGGCCAGGTGACCTCACCTCTCCCAAGCTGGTACATCTCAGAGTTCTGGAAGAATAGTGATCCTTACTAGTTGTTGAACCCTTTTCTTTTTGGCTTGGTCCTAAGGGAATTAAAAATTTTCTCTGGCACAGCCTTGAATATCCTGAGAGCTTTTCCCTGGGAAATGACTGAGTTGTATGCCAGGAAGCAGGACAGGGATGAAGGAGAGCATCAAAAGGTTTTAAGAGGTGGTGGAGGTAACCAGGGTGAGGCTGGGAGGGAGTAGAAATTGGGGAGGGCTGGTTCTTGGACATTAGCACTGGGTTTCAGGGGCTACATTTGTCCTATCAAGAACAGGATCTTTTGACTCTTGAAATTTCCAACTGAGCCTCCTTCTGAGAAAGGTCATGTTCTCACTGGTCCAGATCAAATCAGAAAACTGAAACCAGTTGCCAGAAAATTCAGTCCTAGGACCACCCTTGCATGGACACCTGGCCCTCCCAAGCTATTTCCACTTCTGTGCTTCCTTTTAGTCTTGTCCCCAGTGACTGGGATCTGGGCCTCTGTGCATAACTGTGCCCATTCGGTTACACAGATACCAAGTTAGTCCTTTATAGTAAGAAATGATTTATCCAAAATTTAAATACATGAAATCATGCCAGAGGCATACAACAGAGGACAGCTTCCCAACCATGCACCACTGAGCTCAATGTCCCTTTGCAATTAGATACAAAATTAACTGCACAATATATTATATAAGGAACCTGCAGTGCATTTCTGTCACCTGGCTCTTCTGACTGAAGCTTCAGCTCAGAGTCCCACCTGTCAAAAGAAAACCTATGTCATGGTTAATTGAAGTCAATTAACCATGGTCTGGAAAAGAGGCTTTTCCACAAAGCTATGACCCAAGTAGGCTAATAGCAACAGGAGAGGCTTCAGGCCTAACAGCTTTCCTGTCAGAGCAGACTGCATTATCCACAGGATCCTTGTGTCCTCTTCCCTGACCTGTTTGGTCAGGAATCTGTGATTTTAAAAAAATTCCCTTCTGGTGCTGATGTGAACAGGCAGTGGGGGAGTGGGGTTCAGTTTGGAACCAAGTGGTACCATTTGCAAAGAGCGAGTCGGGCAGGCTCTTAGGAGGCTAGCAGGGCCATCTCCACGTTGTCGGGGGCTGTGCCATTGCCAGCTAGACCCTGGGCCCACTTGTGCAGGCGACTGTAGAGTGGGAGACCCTGGTTCTCACGGTACAGATAGACACCAGTGATGGCGTTCCACTGTGGCCGTGGCTGTGTACCTTGCACTTGGAATTTGGCAACCATCTCTTCATCATCTTTGTTGAGTGCCACAAAGCCAAAAAAACGGCGCACGTTGTTGGCTGCGAGCACCCTGGAGTGCACCTCTGCAGTGCGCTGGAACAGCTGGTCTTCGTTGGTACGGTACTGTGCCCAGTAGGCCTCCTGGCGGTAGCTGAGTGGTGAGCAGTAATGCTTGAGGCACTTGGTCAGGAACACCAGGATGGCCACCACGCCGATGAGCAGCCACCCAAAGAGCTGGCAAAAGAATGGGCAAGGATCAGGAGGGGTAGGGAGCTGTCTTATGTCACTACCCACCCCAAGAATAGTGGAAGGAACAGATTCTGCTTCTGTGGGGAGGTAGGAAATGCAAGCCTGTTCTTTCCCTTACTTCCTTTAACTTGTGCACCTTCCCTGTTCTTAAGCTATGCTTCTTGCATGTTCTGTTACCACTTCAAGCCCAAAGGTACCCCTCCATCATTTCACCCATCAAAACCCAGTTCAGCAGTTGGGAGTGTAGCTCAGTGGTAAGAGCATTTTGCTTAGCATGTGTGAGGCCCTAGGTTTGAATGCCAAGCGTGTGTATACACACCCAACCAACTCAACTACCAGGCTTAGTCAGATGCTATCTCCAGGAAATTTTCAAAGGCCCCTCTAGGAGTGATCTTGCCTTCCTGAATCCTTCATGGCCTGGTTCACCTTGGATCACTGACTGCCTTGATTTGAGATCACCCATGTGCTGGTCATGAATGCTTGGGTATAAACCTGTCCAAGATTATGTTGGCAAGGACCATCAAGGCCAATTGTACAGAGATCTGTGGGCATTTGATCAGCATCATTTTTTTTAATATTTATTTTTCAATTTTCAGCAGATACAACATCTGTTTGTATGTGGTGCTGGGGATCGAACCCAGGCCGCATGCATGCCAGGCRAGCGCGCTACCACTTGAGCCACATCCCCAGCTCCCATTTTTTTTTTTCTTTGTTGATGTCTCTGTCTACTTAGGTTTCTTCCTTTTCAGGAAGGTCTTCTTGTGCTCCTTCCTGTCACCCTCACCCTCTGCTTCTCACTCTCCTGACCAACCTCTTTTCCTTCAAAATGCAGCAAAAGCTGGCCAGGATGGGGCAATAACTGCTTCTTCCTGACTTAATGCCCTGTCCTGCCCCAGGAGACCCCTTGTATCAGCCACACATGAGGCTGATCCAAGTGTTGAGCCTCAGCCTTTCAGGAATGGGATCATCTCAGCCAACCACACTACGTTATCAGTTCACAGCCCACAGCAAATACTTCTGAGGTGGATTACAGGCCCATGCTCACCCTGGCTAAGGTAAACGGCCTATACATGATCAAAGCTCAGTCTAAACTAGAAGAATGTTCCTTCATTGTTTAAAACTGGGATTGAGGGGCTGGGGTTGTAGCTCAGTGGTAGAGCGCTTGTCTTGCACGCGCAGGACCCTGGGTTCGATCCTCAGCACCACGTAAAAAATAAATGAGTGAAATGTATTGTTAATAAATATTAAAAAACAAAAACGGGTTGACGGGTATAGCTCAGTGGTAGAGTGTGCTTAGCGTGGGTGAGGCCGTGGTTTCAACCCCCAGCACCAAAATCAAAACCAAATCTCTCTTAAATTGGGGCTGAAATTGACTTGTCCCACCAAATACTAATGCACAGTTTGTTAACCAACTCTGATGCCTAATGCCAACAATCTATTGCTTTCTTGGAAACCTTAACCCCTGAGTATTGACTCCCCCCCCCCCCATTCAGCACCTCCTCTCCACCTAGGGAGGAAGGAAGAGCTGCTTCTTGCACAGCTCCTTACCTGGGACTCATACTTGAGCCTGCGGCTGACCTCCTCCCGGAAGCCTGACAGGTTGGCAGGGCCCTCCCCACAAGGAAACCTAGCCAGGATCTCGGTGGCATGGGCTAGTGGGAAGCCCTCTTCCTCAGCTGTGAGTGAGGAGGGGTCCACAAACTCACTGAGAGCACAGACATAGGCCTCTCCTCGCAGCAGAGAGATGACAGACCAGGTGACGGGGGCCACAGCTGCACGGCCAASGATGGAACTTAGAAGGAGAAAGTTGGGAGCAGCTGAGCAGTTCTTGGTCCTCCGATACTGGCACTCGGCAACTAGGTTCCAGGTGTGGTTGTTGAGGATGACACCGATGAGGAAGAGTGCCAGGGCGGGCACTCCGATGGCTGTCAGCCCATACAAGTAGTTCCGGGCTGGTGAGCAGGGACAGTGGAAGGCCACCACAGAGAATAGCTCCTGGCTGCCCACTGTGCCCAGTGCTACCAGCCCATTGAAAATCATCACATCCTTGCTCTTGAAGAAGAGTGACAGGAAGCGAAAGTTCTCTGCAATCAGGGCTGCCATGGTGACTGGTTGGCTGGAGACGGAGTGGAGCAAAGGAGGCAGAAGGGAAAAGGACTGATGGTTCCAGGTGGGACTAGGAAGGTGTGCAGGCTTGAGGACACCTGGAGGCAGGGCATGGTTGTACCATTTTATTGGCTACAGTAGCTGGTGTGGTGCTTCCTGCAGGACAGGAGATGGCTGATAAACATTTGCCTATGAACATGGTGGGTATGTGGGGTCTATCGACAAAGGAGGAACCCGATCCTGTGGAACTGATGGTGGCCATTCTGCTGAGTCCTTGCCATGTGTCAGGTGCTCTCCATCCCCACAATTCCTCATTGAGCTCTTCTATGGAAGGGGAGGCTTCCTGAAGGTGAACCACTGGTTAGGGTTACACGTGACAGCTGAGATTCAAGGTCTATCTGGCTCTTTTTTTTTTTTTTTTTTTTGCCACCACCACCTCCAGGATAGGGGTTAGGAATGGCCCTGTAGTGGTAGGGGATGTGGGATGCTTTCCTTCTGGGATTTCTGGATGCTAATGTCCCAGACTGAGTGACCTTGGACATTGAGAGAGTGTCAAATCTGTAGTGGTTGTCTTGGCTGGGCTGTTATTCCTCTATTTTCTCTAACTCCTGCTGACTTAGCTTGTGATCCCTGCCCTATGCAGCAGCCTCCCAGCAGCYTGGCTCCACCAAGTCCTGGGCCTGGGCCCTGCCCCACTTGCCAGCAGGAGGAAGCCTCCTTGAGGCAAGGCTGTATCTTGCCCACCACCCCTTCCGGAGGCTGCTCTGTTTGCTCTGGGCTGCAGCAGTGCTGGCAACCTGCCAGGGAGTGGGCCTGGCCTCAGGCTCCTGCAAAGTTTTCGGCCCCAACTCCTTACCCAAGCGCCACCCACAGGCCCTGAGAGACAAGCCAGGGTGTGGCCCAAATCCTCCCCATCAGAATGATGAAAAACAAAACTCCCCAGGCTAGAGGAAGCCAGGGAGTGGAGGGAGGGGTGCACAGCAAGCAGAGGTAGTTCTTTGGGTAGTCATCACTACATCTCTGCCTGTCCCCAAGTCTGCCAGATGGGCCCAGGCAGGGCCATATGGCCATGTGGGCTCCAGGAAGAAGAGGAGAAATCTGACTCCACAACTCAGAACCAGGGGCTCCCATCTAACTGCTTGGGAAAAGGACTTTGTCTTATTGCAGGGGATACATGAGCTAATGGCATGTATCCTCTTCCCTTTTGATTTCTAGGCACCTTATTAGCTCCCTGCGGGGCCCAGAGTCCATAAACCCACCCCAATTTGGGTATAAGAAGTCTGGACAGAGTGGGTGATGAGTAGAGGGTGAATCAGGCTATCTTCTGAGACCACTGTGCTGTGGACAGCCTATTTCCAGTGGAAGTGGGACCTCCTCCAACCATCAGTGAAGATAGGAGACAGGCAGCTATGGTGGTTGGGCGGGGGACCGCTCCCTGGGACAAAACCTGGGCCACCTGAGAGGAGCCCTGCCATGCTCCTCTGACACCTGGCACACCCAGGGAGGGGCTCCTCCTTACCTGGGGCTGGCTGCAGGCACTAGTGGCCTTGGCCTCCTGACGGCTGGACTCAGAGTATGGTGCAGGCGTGGGAGACTTGAGGCGGCAGTCTGGTCGCACCTTAAGTACCTCCGAAGGCGCCCCGGGCTCCCTCCTGCTTTGCTTCTGCACGGGAGCTAAAAGTTTGAGACCAGAGGGCTTGGGGCTGGCGTCTGCAGACAGACTTAACTCCAGGCGTCTACAGGCAGATCTCAAGCACCTACAGACAAATTTAACTCCAGAAAAGAGAGAAGGAAACCGTGGGATGGAACCCGCGCATCAGCGAATGGAAAAAGCTTCCCCGGCCAGAAGAGGAGGGTTGGGCGGGCGGCCGAGGGCGGCGCGAGCGGAGAGGAAGTGGAGGCGCCTGTTGAGCTGCTGCTGCCCCGACCAGCGCTGCTCGCTGCTCTTGGTGGCTGGCACTCCACCTCCGGCCTCGACCCTACCTGGTGCTCCACACAGGGCGCGGTGGGGGTAGCTGGGGAGGGTCTCAGCAGGAGACAGGCAGCAGCTCTGGCCTGGATCTGCCCCCATTCCAGTTTCAAAAGCACCCCTTGCTTGATCCCACCTCTCCACCCCCACCCCCAGCACGTAGGCAGAAACTACTAGAAGGAGCCCCTGTTCAGTTCCTAAGGTCGTGGGAGAGTGCCATCAGACAAGGTGGTCTCTCCGAGGACACAAAATGCCAGGCCCCACCCCAGTCTGGCCCTTCTCCTAAGCTGTTTGCCCCTGACTGAACAAACCATCCTCCACTCCATGTGGCTCTTCGMTCCATAGTTCAGCTAAGTCCCAGAACTACTTCCCATCTCTGGAAGGCTCATAGTTGAATTCAGGAGTCTAGGATCTTCTGAGGCCCAAGGGGCACAGCCTGGCTGGTAGGTGGAAATTAGGAGACAGATTTCTGAAGGAGCTTCCCAGCCTGCCCCAGAAGTGGTCCTATCTGTGGGAGTGTGCAAGCTGAGGCTGAAGAGTCACGGGTCAGGAATGCTGAAGAAGAGAGTTCTAAGGACAGGCCACATGGCCCCTGCCAGCTCTGCAGGGCTGTGGTTCCCTGATGGTGGAACTGCTGAGGGATGAGGAAACCTTACCCGGCTTGTCCACACGCAGGAATGAAGGGGAGAGACCATTTTGGTGTGTTTGCTTGTATGCTTGTTTCAGACCCTATGGCCTCAAATCCTTCCCTAAGAGCTACTTCCTTTTATCCTCACCACAGGCCTAAGAAGCAGGTCTTTTAACAACCCCTTCATGGAGCACACTGCAGCTCCAAGGGCCTAGGTGACTTGCCACAGCTCCTGTAGCTCTGGTGTTTCCACCCGGGTCTGCTGACGCAAAGCTTTACTCTTTCATTCAGGTTTGTCTCTCTCAGTATCCCTGGGCTTCCTGTTCTTACTGGTTGCCCCCACCCACCAACACATGCTTGACTGTGCTCATCTGATCCCCTCTTCCCTGGACCTGGGTCAGGTCCCAACTCCTGCAGGGAGCCCTCCCAGCCCACTTCTGTCTGCAGGGACCTGCCCTCCTTACAAATAAAGAGGGAGACTGGGTCTCAGAAGTATAAACAGAGAACAAGGAAGGATGGAAATCATGACTGGAAGCAAAGTGATTTCTGAGATGGGTGGGACTCAGGTCTGAAAGATAAGAAACCTATCTGAACCCCTGTTTCTTCCTCCTAAACAAAGACTGAAGTTGTTTATTCCTATGTCTCTTGTCCCTCTTTTGGGAGAGGAAGAGAGACGCCCTCAGATTTAGAAATGAACAAACCCATAAACCACCATGTCCTCAGTGACTACCATGTGCCATGTGCTTTTTGACTTTTAAAAATTTATTTGTTTATTTTTACTTATTTTGGGAACTCACTGAGTTGCTTAGGGCCTCACTGAGTTGCTGAGGCTTTGAACTTGCCATCCTCCTGTCTCAGCCTCCCAAGCCACTGGGATCACAGGTGTGCGCCACCGTGCCTGGCTGCCATGTGCTTTTATACACAACCATCTCGAATTAAGGGCCCTTGCCCCCATTGTACAATTGAGGAAACCAAGGCACAGAAAATGAGTCACCTGGCCCAGAACACAGTTTGTAAGTAGTAGAGCACAGCATTGACCCAGTTCTGCCCCGCTCTGCAGTGTGAACTATTTCCACTTAGGCAGCTCCTCTCCCTCCTCATCCCACCTCAGGGCAGAACTTCTTAGTGCTTTAGAGCCCCCTTGAGAAAATGGGAGGCTTCCCCTTCTGTTTCTAACAGGAGACATCTTCTGGGGATGGTGTGATTTCCCCCTGAGATCTGGGCATGAGGCAGGTGTTAGTGTGGTCTCCAAGCACCCCTCCATGGGGAGTGTTTCATGCTTGGTGCTAGTTAACATGGAGTTCACCTCCATATTCATCTAGTGACCTCCGTAGTGACCACAAACCCTGGCATCTCCTTCCTGGACTTAACTCTCAGCATATTGTCTTATCACCTGCCACCTTGGCCCACTCACCCAGAAGATTCTGGCCAATATCACAAGAGGGCTGGATGTCCTCCTGGTTCCCGAGTCCTGAGCTCCTCAAAAGTCATAGACGACAGAGGATGCAGGGGCAGACCAGCCTGTGAGGCCTGAGAGGAGGTAGTGAGCCACCATGAAAGAAGCAGCTTTAGAAGTGGCCTGGGAAGGCGGTCAGGGGCCAGCCATCTGTCTCCCCAAGTCATTCCGAACACTTCTGAATTAATACTGCTTATGGGCCCACTGCCCCAGGGCAGTGTCAAAGCTGGAGGGAAGAGGCCCCCTTCTAGCTCCACAATTCCTTTCCTAAAAGGACCAGTGAGTGCCTGGACATGTGGGCCTGTTCCTGAGGCCTGCTGTGCAGCACCTAAAGCCTTCATTTCTCTATCTTGTTTGAGGGTCTGAGAGCTGTGTTTCCTAAGCCAGCCACAGCTCACACTTTGCTGAAGTAGGTGGCTACCTCCTTGCGTGGAGGCCGAGGCCCGCCCCCAGCCCAGCCATTGCCCATCAGAGGCTCCTGGCCCAGCCGCAGTGGTGGTTTGCATTTGTGCCAACTGGTCAGCAGCCTGTTGATGGCACCTTGGTCGGTGATGCCACGCAGCTTTTCCCTCTCTTCCTCAGTACCCTCGGTGGGGCTGTGGGAGGCGGATGGAGAGGTAGCTGTGGCCAGTGGCCCGTGAGCATGACCCAGCTCCAGGTCATGGTTCATGGCTTCAAAGAACTGCTGGATGCAGACCTTGGCGAAGGCCTTGGCGTGCTCTGTGCACGTCTCATCAAAGAGCTTGCGCTCGATGTCGATGTAGTGGGACCAGTACTTGCTCTTGAGGAAAGCAGCCTGTGTGAAGCAGGGCCTCACGGAGCGCACCACAAACGCCAGCAGTGTAGTCAGCAGCACGAAGGACCAGCCCAGTGCCTGCAGGGAGAGGGAAGCGTTAGGCCTCCTGCCTCCGAACCTGTACAAACCCCCAAAGCACTCTCTGGGGCCTTTAGTGAGGAGAGCAGGAACTGGACAAGTGACTTCACTTCACCTCTTGGCCTCCTCTGTTTCCTCAACTGCAAAATAGGCATGGGTATACCCACCTCTTGGGAATGAGAGCTTGTGTGAGGCATCTGCTGTGTTGGCTGGGTCCTCATGCACAGGGGTAAACTCCAGACCCTGGAGTGAGTSGGCCTGGTTTGAATCCTGTCTGCACTGCTCAGTAGCTGACCAAGAGTGACACAACCTGACTACTCTATGGCTAGTGATAGCACCTATCTCATAGCTCCCATGAGGACTAAAAGAGGTAATAGACTTAATAGCGCCTGGTGCATACATAGCACCCACTAACTTTTAGCCACTGCCCTTCCAGTAGGCCCTCAGGACCATGTCTCTTCCTTTGGGAAAGCTTCTTCACCTCCCCAGGCCATAGTGGCCCTTCTTCCTCAGAGTTCTGTGCCTCTCCTTTAGCTCCTGCTACTGACACCTGCACCAGGTGAGCCTCTTCTCCACGTGGGTGGAGCTGAGGCCTCAGGGGTCCCAGAGAAGCCCTGGACAAGCTCTCAAACTCGGCTGAAAAACTGGACCCTTGTCTCTAGCTCTGCTCTGTCAGTACTGTGAGGGCGCTGAAGGCCCCACCTGGGCCCCCAGCTGCACACAGCAGCATTGGACAGGTCAGAACGGGGATGTGGGACAAATGCATATACTATCCCAGGGGGCCAGGCCAGGAGCTGCAGAGCATGTGGTTGGTCTAGGGGTGAGGGGGGGGGGGGCTCAGGCTGCTCAATGAACAAGTGTGTGCCCAGAGGGGCTGGATCTTCAGATGTTTCAAATGAACTTGGAAATGTGATTTTTATATAAAAAATTCTGAGTTTTAGAGGAAGCCAATTAATTCTAAAGGTGACTTTAGAGTTAAAATTCTGAAGGCCAAATGAAATGTGTCTGTAGGCCAGGCAGCCATGGCCTCTGGAGGCCCTTKCAGCTTGTGATGTGGTAATTTAAAGGTCAGGTAAAGGAACAGCTGCTTAGACCCTAAGGCCTGGGGTGGTGGGACAAGTGCCCACAGGAGTGGAGACACTGGTCTGTCTGGGAGAGAAACAGAGCTCGGTTTGGGTACTCACAGTGGGAGACTCACAGGTGGCATCTGGGTGGTGAGGGAGGCCTCATAGGAGAAGGGTCCCCCAGCTGCAGAGGGGAGCCCGGGGGTTTGCACTCACCAGAGCAGAGTGTGCATATTTCTCCAGGCCTTCCAGGGCAGGCCCAGCCTCCTGCCCCTCTCCTTGACTGACCATCAAAGGGCTAACAGAGCGGTCCTTTAATTCGTATCCCARCTGTGGATCTCCCTTACCCACGTGCTCCCTTCCAAGACACCCAGACCCTCAGCTCCCACTCTYTGAGCAGGGAGGTGCCAGATAGGGGCATTTGCCAGGGAAATATACCCAAATGGCCCAGCCACCCACCAGCTCTCCAAGGCCCAGGCTGGAAGAGAAAATGATGCAAATTCCCTCAGCTTCTAAGCTCAGAGCTCAGGATGGAGGAGATGGGGTCAGCTGAGCTACTGGGTCCTCTTTAGGGACCTCAGGACAGAGGACAAATCTGCTACACTGAGAGAGCCACAGCACTTTCTCCAGGTGGCCCCAGTCTCAGAGAAAGTTCATTGCCTCTGCTTTCAGTCTCCACTGGGGAAATGTCCCCCCTCTCCCACTCCATCTGGAGGGAACCCCATTTTGAGAGTTGGGGGAACAGGGCCTTCCAAGAGGGACCCTGGTCTGTGCGCAGACCCGGCCCCCTCACCTGGGAGATGCAGCGCAGGTAGCGCACGGCCACCTCACGGGCCAGCAG